CTAGGTTACTTAAATAGACTTGACCATACATTGATCTGGATGAGTCTATTACGGTTTACAGTGGGAAAAGGGTTAAGTGTCTCTATTACCTGTTATTAGAACAATGGTGAAGAGTTTGATAAAGTGTAGCAGAACTGGACTGGGTCGATCAATATTGTAAGCGACCTTAGGTAGCTCAAGTGGTAGAGCATCAAACCATCTAGAGTTCCGAGGGTTCCGGGTTCGAATCCTGGTCTGGGTGTTGCATTTCTCTTTTCTCCTGTTACAAAATTGGCGAGCTTGCCAACCCTTGTTTCAAGCACTGGGTGAATGCTTGGCAAGGGGATACCCGCATCTGGGGCTAACACTTATAGAAAAAGGAGGGAATAATGTAATGGAACTGGACTGGGTCAATCGTCGGGTAGCTCAGGTAGCTCAATTGGTAGAGTGTCCACATAGAGTTTGGAGGGTCCCACGTTCAAATCCCGGTCTGGCTGTTGCGTATCTCTTTCACCAAAATGTTACAGAAGCTTAGGGAATTTTCTACTACATGTATACCAATAAGTGCCAATAAATGTGTGTTGATTGTCCAATCTTTATATGTGATTATATGAATTTCATACATTACAGTTAGTTGATAACCTCACCACCCGTAAAAGTTATATTAGCAGCTGTGCTATATATACTGGAATCAAGATTTCAGACATTCTGGTTCACTATAACCATAATTCATAATAACACTAGGCTTATCAAATCAAAGCTTATAATATAACCATAATTTCTAATATTATGAATAAATTATTTAATTACCAGATTATTTGTAAAAAAGGAAGTCTCCTAAGAAATATGCAATAAACACATGCTAGCTCATTGAAAAGGAAAGTCACAAATTAATATTTACAGGAAGGAAAATGAAATATAAACATGACTTTTGATGAACTTTATAAACTTAGAAATTTTCGTTGTATTCCTCATGAAAATAAGTTTTAAATTCAATGTTTGCAAAAGCTTATCAAAGGTAAACACTGAGAGTACTGGCCGATCTTTCGTAGGTGACTTCGAAATATAAGGCACTGTAGTTGGACAAGTCTAAGGTAAACAGTAGTCCTTTCAGGTCTCCTACTCAACATTGACTGTTTACTCACTGTCAAAATCCTAATCACCTTTCTAGATTGAAAACCATGGCCGGATATTAGGAGCAAATACACTTGATTACAGGCAAGACATTTTTTCTTTGAGCATATAAATATTGTATCCGTTTCCATGGTTATTATTGACTTCTCAGTAGTTTTTGCAAATACAATTTATCATGATGACATATTATTTTTTTTCTTTAGTACAACATGTTTTGCACGTTTCCATGGCAATTTTTTTCGAATCATTTTCAGCAAACATAATCCATCACATGGATGCTACAATTTTTTAATAACTTGAAAAATGTTTTGTTGTCATGGCAAGTTGTGGTCATGCAATCATTTACACTTTACCGAATTAATTATCAGTGTCAAGTTAATGGACTGTTAATGGACTGTTAATGAAACCAGAGCTTTCTAAACTGGAATTATATTGGCTGCTTTTTTTCAGCCAATGGAGAATCATGCAATTCCCTAAAAGTTGTTTGTGGCATAAACAGAATACAAAATCATAGTAAAATTAAAAACAAAACACATCATTTTCCATATTATTTACAGATCTAGAGTTATGGCTGTTTGTTCACTATATCTCTTGAGATGACAGATTGTCACATATTGTACCATACTGTCCAACTCCTCTATTTTGGAGGGAGGCTCCCCATGCATTTCAGACCCTAAAATCAAGCATTTTCAACCAGTGAATTTGCTTAAAAACTTATCCTATTTTCTTAGATCTGATGTTTTAATCAGTGTCAAAGAAAAGCTCAAAAGATGCCATTTACAAGTGTTATTTATTTTATTCATGCTTTTAAAACACATGTAATCTCCCCCAGACTTTCTACTTCACAATAAACAGAGTTTTGGCCCTTTGTTCTCTCATTTTGTCTGGCGAATAATTCATTTACACCAGGCTATCTCTCACCTACAACTGCAAATTTTGTATGTAATGCAAGTATCTTTTGACATTGTGGAGTGTCACATACTTAAGTAGATTTTGCGCACAATTCTAACATGAAGTAGAATCCTGCTTCAAATAGCCCCATTTTCCATTACAGGACCCTTAAAATCTGAACACATGTGTCCCCATAACCACCTGAAATGAGAAATTAAAAAATAAATTCCAGACTCCAAATTTTAATGATGTATATGACTTAAAGAAATGAATACTGAAAATAATTATTTATGAGGAACCCAAATATGTATCTGAGATCCCCAAATTTCAATCAATGGTGTCCCAAGGACTGATCTCAATGTCAAAATGGGATGTAAAACCCTGCCTGTTATATAAATATGTATAGCCTATTGTTGATGTCTGTGATGGAAGTTTGTCCCAAGGCGGAGATCTAAATAGCATGCTTGAAACACTGGGCTTTGTTAAAACTAATTTGACCTTGACCAAGTTTGAAATTAAAGGACATAAATGTGTGATGGGTTTGTCAACAGCTTTGGTAATCTCAGCTTAAGGAACTCTCAAAGTCAAAATGGGATGTAAAACCCTGCCTGTTATACATACAATATTGTTGTTATGGAAGTTTGTCCCAAGGCGGATATCTAAATAGCATGCTTGAAACACTGGGCTTTGTTAAAACTAATTTGACCTTGACCAAGTTTGAAATTAAAGGTCATAAATGTGTGATGGGTTTGTCAACAGCTTTGATTATCGGATGAGAACTAGAGCTTTTTGGCCACATCGATTTTGTACCTGTCCGGTTGATTATAACAAGCACATCACAGATTCGGGCTCTGTTATAAACAAGTCTTATTGTACATACACTATAATTGACCTAATAAGCACCCTGGGCTCTTAGCAATTTGGGAAAATTAGAGTGATTACAAAACCTTCCAAAAGTCTCAAATAATATCTAAAGCAGACATTTGTTTTCATGTAAGATATAAGTTGAGATAATGGATAGGAGTCTCTGACCTGGACAAGATAAGGACTGCTTCTTAGGGTTGAAGTGCCAATATTAGGTAAAATAGAGTAGTAATGGTTTGGAACTCTACACAGTCAACATTCCCTTATATTTTTGGACAAATCCAGGCTATTCTTATAGCTGTATATGGGTTCTGTTTGCAATAAGGTTAGTCTTAAAATTTCCTCTAGTTTGATTCAAAATGTACAGATTCTAAACTACATGCATTTTGATGCTTTCACGCCTTGAATCACTCCTTATTTGAGATATGGTATGAGGGAGATCTCCCTCATTGGAGGTTTAGACGTTGACACCTATGAGTACCGTTAATTAGTATTCATTAAAAATCAGTTTACGTGAAAATGATTTTTGAGGGAAGAAAATTTCAAAATACGCTTTCTGTATATTATCATTGTTTCCAAGTTTGCAATATTACATGTTCATACGAGTTAGAATTTAACATGGTTTCATTTCAGAATAGGGTTGTTTCCCCTTAATCCCTTACTTTGTGCTTGACTGTTCAATCTCAATAGATAGGATCATTATTTTTTCTAAATGTTTAGCTGTGTATAAGAAGTTGGCTCACTTGGAATGTGGCAGATGACAAGATGAGGTGATAAAACAATGATTGCTTTATGTACATTGTAACTGTTAAAAGATCTGTTTTAGCTTCCTGGTATACAGGTACAGGTGTATCCCTATTACTTAACGATTAAATCTTCTTTAAAGGTAGACAAGTTCATTACTTGATGTATATGGGTGGTTGAGTACTGATTTTTTTTTTTTTCCTTTTTTTAGTTCCATATGTAAAATAAGCATAGGACATGGTATGGAAGACGTTAATTGTCAGCTTTACTTAAAGATTTTTTTTGAAAAGAATTTTATTTAAGAATTAAAAAAATTAAAGCAATAAATCATGATGTCAAAAATGTATAGATTTGGTCTTAAGATGATAATTAAAAAAATAAAATCAAAAAATAAAAGTAAAATAATTTTTTAAAGAAAATGTTATTATCATGGTAATGACTACCGGTAGCTTTGAATGCATGTTTAATCAAAGAAGGCCTGGATCTTATTTGTTTAGTTATTGACAATTCAGATTTTATTTTTTTTAAATATTTTAGATTTATGTTAAAATTCAATTCAAATAATTAATGGAATCAGGATTAAAATGAGTCACATCTGACAAGCAGTTCTAAAATAATTCATATATCATATCAACAGAGTTTTTATCTTTCAATTTTGTGTTTTAAATATACTGTTAAGCTAACGACACTCTTAAACAATTTAACCCATTTATCTGGCTGTTCATAGCCTGATTAGCTTGAAAAGAAAAAAAACAATCAGAAATACACACTGTTAAAATATTTTGAAATATATTGAAATAAGTGTAAAAAAAGAATATAATTGGAAATTTCAAAAATACTTATTTAACTCTTTTTTTCCACTGAGAACTTTTCATTTTAACTAGACTTTAACAAATAGAGCCCAGAATCTTGTTAATTAAAGTCTCAAGTTGATAAAAGCTTAGCGACAATTCAAGCTTTTAAGAAATATTGATATTTAAAACTGAAATGACATGTAAAATGATTCAAAATGTTTGTCAGAAGACAATGAAGATAAATAATATATGTAAATTTTGAAATATTTTCTATAAATCACCTTTTGAATTTCTTTATTAACAACATGTTAAGCTACCTGTGATCTGGTTAAAAAAAGATCTTGCACTGATGTTTAAAAGGTTGTGGTACGCGTCTAACCTAACAATGCCTATTATTTTTAGACACATGTGTACTTGGTATCGAATTTCACATTGGGCAGAATAAAAAATCTGTTCCTTATTGGGTAGAATGTGAGTAAAACAGGGAGGACCGTTCTTCACTAAATCTAATGAAGTCATGCACACACATGTAGGTAACCGTGCATAATACTTAACTGTTTATACATTGAGTTAAAAGGACTCGGTTGTGTTTTTTCTATTTTTGTTTTAAACTGTTTGTTGGATTATGTGATTTTGAAAGAGGAGTACAGATCTTTTCATTGGTTTGTTTGTGTTTTACGTCCTATTAACAGCTATGGTCATTTAAGGACGTGCCAGGTTTTGGTGGTGGAGGAAACCAGGAGCTCCCGGGGAAAAAATACCGACCGACGGCCAATACCTACCTAAGATCTTTTCACCAGTGATTTTAGATATATGAATTACATAATACTGATCATGACAATTCATAAAAAGATAACTCAGAATTTTACACATTTTTAGGAACCTGTATTTCTATTTTCAGATGCAATGATGACATTCCAGCAAAGGTTGTGTAAGACGGCAAGTGGTATTTGACTGACTTACATAATTGTGACAGGGAGTTGAGACAACCTTACTACCATTTCGGAACATTGCAAAATAATATTTTGCAGCCCATTTTGTGGAAATTATACAATATTGTGTTGAAAGATTCAAAAGGAAGGATTAATTTGACTTCAACAAACCATCACCATGGAAATGACCGTACACAATGTTTTACTTTCAGCGATCCTTTTAGTTTCAGCCATAGGCAGCGTTACTTCTATTTGTAAGTATTGTTATATTGAAATATTCCTGCAGGTGTAAAAAAAGTCTCTATCCCTGCCTAAATCAGTTTTTTTTATCTCTATGACCATGAATTAAGAAATTGACATTAATGTAATTGTGAATTTAAAAGTTGGGCTATTGAAACAGATGTCAGCATTATAAAAGTGCATGTAAAATAAGCAAATTTTTAACCTAAAATAAATACTTTTTTTGTTTGTGTGTGTTAAAAACAGCTGCACCAGGAACGCCGCAGATTACTAATTTCCCTAATACTGCCATCCAGGGGGATGTGCTTACCGTGACATGTAAATCAACAGGAGGTGATCCTGACCCGCAACTCTGGTGGTACCAGGGCAGCGCACAGAAGGACAACACCTATATTGTACAGGTATGTAAGTCACACTAGATCACCATCAAACGCAACCTAAAGGTTCACAAGTTATACTGGGTTGTTAGGGGTAAAGACAAAGTCTCCTAAAGGTTCACAAGTAATAATGGGTTGTTAGGGGGTAAAGACAAAGTCAACACTAGTTCACAAGCTATACTGGGGCATTAGGGGGTAAAGACAAAGTCTACTCTGGTTCACAGGTTATACTGGGTTGTTTGGGGGTAAAGGCAAAGTCTACTCTGGTTCACAAGTTATACTGGGTTGTTTGGGGGTAAAGACAAAGTCTTCTCTGGTTCACAAGTCTAACTGGGTTGTTAGGGTGTAAAGACAAAGTCTACTCTGGTTCACAAGTATAACTGGGTTGTTAGGGGGTAAAGACAAAGTCTACTCTGGTTCACAAGTCATACTGGGCTGTTAGGGGGTAAAGACAAAGTCTACTCTGGTTCACAAGTCTAACTGGGTTGTTAGGGGGTAAAGACAAAGTCTACCCTGGTTCACAAGTCATACTGGGCTGTTAGGGGGTAAAGACAAAGTCTACTCTGGTTCACAAGTATAACTGGGTTGTTAGGGGGTAAAGACAAAGTCTACTCTGGTTCACTAGTTATACTGGGTTGTTAGGGGGTAAAGACAAAGTCTACTCTGGTTCACAAGTAATACTGGGTTGTTAGGGGGTAAAGACAAGGTCTACTTTGGTTCAAAAGTTTTACTGGGTCATTAGGGGGTAACAACAAAGTCTACACTAGTTCACAAGTATAACTGGGTTGTTAGGGGGTAAAGACAAGGTCTACGCTGGTTCACAAGTTACACTGGGTTGTTAGGGGGTAAAGACAAAGTTTACTCTGGTTCACAAGTATAACTGGGTTGTTAGGGGGTAAAGACAAAGTCTACTCTGGTTCACAAGTAATACTGGGTTGTTAGGGGGTAAAGACAAGGTCTACTCTGGTTCAAAAGTTACACTGGGTTGTTAGGGGTAAAGACAAAGTCTACACTGGTTCACAAGTTATACTGGGTTGTTTGGGGGTAAAGACAAAGTCTACTCTGGTTCACAAGTTACACTGGGTTGTTAGGGGTAAAGACAAAGGCTACCCTGGTTCACAAGTTATACAGGGTTGATGGGGGTAAAGACAAAGTCTACCCTGGTTCACAAGTTATACTGGGTCTTTAGGGGTTAAGACAGTCTACGCTGGTTCACAAGTTATGTTAGTCAAAATGTTCAAATGAAATGTAGTCTTTTTTACCATGCATCGGCAGAATAATTGTAAAACAAATATTAAAACAATCAGCCTTTATTCAGTTAGTTATCATCCAAGTTTAGTTATCATCCAGGTTTAGTTATCATCCAAGTTTAGTTATCATCCAAGTTTAGTTATCATCCAAGTTTAGTTATCATCCAAGTTTAAGGAGTTGTGCCCCCTTACAATCTCATATTGCAAATATATATCATGACTGTGTAAAAATGAGGAGATTGAAGGTTCTGTATCTGTCGCCTTGTGGATGACACATTAGTACATTAGTTTGATGGCGTAACTGCAAAATTGAACAACATTGAGGTCTGATGTCACTCCTCTGTAATCTTTAAAGAACAGTAGTTAGTCTGGCGATTGGTTATAGCCTCTTTAACTAGAAACCAGTCAAATAGGAAACCTTGTGCCTTTGATAATGTCACAACAACAAAATTATACTGTATACCGACAAAATGTTTGCTGCAGTTTAATTTTCGCAATTTTCGTGACGATGGCAAATTTATCATTAAAGCAAATATCTGTGAACAACATAATATACATAGTAATTAAATGTGAAGGACACATTCAAGTTTCTTCCAAAATGGATTTTACAGTCATAGGGCAAATTTCAAGATTCGGCCAAAATGGATTTTACAGTCATAGGGCAAATTCAAGGTTCGGCCAAAATGGATTTTACAGTCATAGGGCAAAATCAAGATTCGGCCAAAATGGATTTTACAGTCATAGGGCAAATTCAAGGTTCGGCCAAAATGGATTTTACAGTCATAGGGTAAATTTAAGATTCGGCCAAAATGGATTTTACAGTCATCGGGCAAATTCAAGATTCGGCCTAAATGGATTTTACAGTCATAGGGCAAAATCAAGATTCGGCCAAAATGGATTTTACAGTCATAGGGCAAATTCAAGATTCGGCCAAAATGGATTTTATAGTTACAGGGCAAATTAAAGATACGGTCAAAATGGATTTTACAGTCATAGGGTAAATTCAAGATTCGGCCAAAATGGATTTTACAGTCACAGGGCAAATTAAAGATTTCGGCCAAAATGGATTCTACAGTCATAGGGCGAAAATTTCCCCATATATATAGTATCTCAAGAGGTGCAGAAAACCTATTAGTGGGTGTAACCCCTGGAATTTCGAGGATGTCAGTTAAAGTAAGAATCTCGTTCAGAACTCTGTTCTTTATGTTTGAGTACAGGTGACAGGCTCCACACGGATCACGGAGAACAATTACACTTTTAGTGTGATGCGGTCACATGAAAATGAGGATTTTAGCTGTACAGCGCGAAACACTCAGGACACCAGGACAACCACAGTCACATTCGCTTCTGTCTACGGTATTTCCTTCATTATATATTGCTTCAAAACATCAATTTTTTGTATAGGGGTCGAGCAGTGTTTTTAAAATGTTCATGCTGGTATGAACGCAAATTCGGTTACATCCATAGGGCTTCATGTTTAATATGGATGTAACCGATCTGCATTCATACTGGCATGAAATGTTAAAAATGCTGTTAAATCTATATATTTACATTTTACTATAGATCAATTGTTTCATTTTATTTATTTGTTTTTAAATTATTTATTTATTTACTAGCTGTGTTTTGTAAATGCATCGTCCTTTAAACAACATTGGCGGAACAGCCCAATTTAAATAAAATTGCCACCAATAATTAACCGTAGTCATTTGAGCGTTTGACACAGAGCTCAAGGCATTCTCCATGTTAGCTGAAGTGACAAGGCTCTCATTGAACAAGGTCAATCTTTGACGTCATAAGTAAACCATGTGTTACGTCACGAGACTTTTTGCTTTCATACTCAAATGAAATCCATTTCTGCTGGTAATGTTCATAAAGTGGGTCGCAGCGCAAGTGTCAATATATGCAAATGTCACATGACTGGTGTGTCTTCAAATCTGTTTTAAATAATTTATCACCAGTGCGTCAGATTTTAATTGTACATAGGATCACACTCGGGCCACCAGGAAAGAGATTGTAGTGTACAAATTCACCAGGAATCAAACCTCAACCCAGACCTCCTTGTCGGACCCTCTACTAAGTGTAGAGTATATTTATTGTCACGTAAAGTTATGATGAATTGTCTGTATTAACACCATATAAACTCAGTTGATAACATAATATTATTTTTGTTTTCGAAAATGACGTTTAAATTACTTAGTTACTTATAATAACTTAATTAGAGTTGGTTTCCAGTATAGGACCTCTATAGGACCTCGCCACTTGACCAAATTGTTGTTTTGCACCGAACTTGAAGTACGCTTTCAATCGGTGCTCTAAGATTATATAATATTTCCTGATCTTAAATGATTTTAAGGATCATGCGTTTAGCTGTGACCTCCGATGGTAAATTATTCTAAATGTTCACCACTCTGACGGTTAATAGTTCTTTGTTTTAGATGTTAAAGCTTGTTGTGGGTATATCTTACACGAGTGGCCTCTGGTGCTGTTTCTTTCTGTTACATTGTTCCACATTTTGATAAACGTACATGTCTCGCTGTCGTACCTTCCCTGTATTATTTGTGGAGGCACGGTAGTGCAGTGGTACGATGCCAGGCCCGTGACCGAAGGGTTGCGGGTTCGAGTCATGGCACGACACTGTTTTGTATCTTTGAGCAAGATACTTTACTCTGCTTGTTCCAGTCTACTCAGCTGTAAATGAGTACGTGGTTGGGCAGTGCTAGATTTGTCGAATGCTGAGCGCCGAAATGGCAGCTGCGGCTGTATGCTCCCCAGGGAGTTGAGAAAGGTATTGGCTGGTTGCAAAGGCTCTATAACCACAGATGATAATTTGTGAACTAGGTTGTAATAAAGCGGTATATAATTAATACCCTCGAATTATTATTATTATTATATTGGAATGTTTCCATCATATCCGCACGGTGTGGCACCAGTTGCCACATTAAGACTTTACCTTTAGGTACACATTTTTTTGTTTCTTAATTTTCACAGCGACACCAGGGAATCCCGTTTTGACTGGTCCGACAACCTTCAGCATGGGGACCTCCCAAACTTGGAACTGCAAGACATATGGGGGCTACCCACTACCCACTATCTCGTGGTATCTGGGGGATCAGATTATCACCGGAGATTGGACCAATGTTACATCGTCGAACAGCACATATGATGTGGAGAGTCAATCAACCCGAACTGTTCTTGCAGCAGATAATGGCAAACAAATACAGTGCCGAGTAAATCATCAACAGACCCTGGCTACACCCAAGGTCACCAGCAAAACTCTCACTGTATACTGTAAGTATTGTTATATAGATTATATAGTTCTGAAGATTTGGAATAGTCTCAGCTCCCACACGATGTTATTTCATCTAGTATAATATTTGACTTTGAGGAAAAACGAATTCTCGAAAGAGCTTGAGTTGAAGTATGATCATACAGTGTCTTTCTTATGTCCAGAGACAGAAATTAACATACATATTTTTTGAGAGTGAGACAATATTAGGGAGGGGGCTTAATTGCAGGTACCCATTCTGTTCCAAGGATATTTGCCAAAGTGGGTAAGGAGCTTATTTGCGAGAGGGGGCTTATTTGCAGTCAAATACAGTATACAGACTTTATCACAATGTAATCAAATTATATTAATGTGGATATAGAGAGGCTGCAATGCCTGCGTCCAGTGATCATGATATCCTATTAAATCCTATTACATAGTGCTGTATTATAAATTGGTAATATTTGAGGGGGAATTTATTTCGCTATATATTCATGGTGAACAAAAACAGTGCGAAACTAAATACCCAGCAAATATTGATACCAAGAATTATAATCTCCATGAAGAGGTGGAAGATAAAGAGTCAATCATTACGTAGGTATGTGGGTTATCAATATTTTACCCGATGGTGTAAATTTCGTTGTTTGAGTCTCGACATTATAAGCCTCGATTCTTTACCAATTTCTACATCCTGGAGTAGGAAAATATTCGTGAATTTCCAGAATAAATTGTGTCTTATATCATGTCAACAATGGCCTCCGATTTAACTCAAACAGTTTGATGGAAAGACCGAAGCACTTTCCAATTGGATAATACTTGTGTAGTACGCAGTTCTTTGTTATTTATGTAGCAGGAATGGATTGATCACTATTATTAATTTAAAGCTATACCTTGTGTATTTATTTGATGCCTGGTCTTCATTGGTATTCTGCCGTACGTTTCTATTTTGTCTTGAGTGGAACAACAAGTCACACAGGTTGATTATTAATATTTTCTTGTGTTTTTACCAGATAAGGATGCATACCTACATTCGCTCATAGAGTTGTGTTCATTGGTCGATAGTTTTTACGAAAAGGGTTTTCATTGGGTAGGTGTTTAAGTATTTTGTAAGGCCCAGATCCGATGATGCATAGCGCGGGTTTCTGTTGAGTATCTGTTGGGTATAAATTAATATATATATATAAATAAATTAAACACTAGTAAAACAACAGAAATGCAACTACCCCCTCAAACCTGGGTTGTCCATTGAGACATGACATAACAACCTGTTACTTTGCAGGGTTTTTGCCAGCTATTTTGGGAAAGGGTCCCTGACAGTAGGAATTGGTAAAATATCATCGGCATTTGACAAAAATTGGGAAATTTCATCAGTGTTACAACATGTACAGGTTTGGGAAAATATCATAAGTTTTGAAAAAAATAAAACCTTCAAAGACTTTTCCTCTAGCTGTTTCTTACACAAAAATGTATAGCAACAAATACAAACATCAATTTTCAGTGTTTTTGTTTATTCAATTTCAAATTTTCATTGTTTCTGTATTTTGAATGCTTGCTCATGGACGGTAATACTTTTAATGTTGCACATATACCGACTGGAAACTTGTATAAACATACTTTTTAATCCAATTTTGGAAATAAATACTGAAATTTGGAAAATACAGGGTCTTTTTCAATTGGGAATGCAGGGTCCCTGTACCTGACCCTATAAACACCTGGCAAAACCCCTGCATTGGATTATAAAACAAATATTTTGGTAGGTTACCTAATGTAAATATTGAGTTATAACTACGGTATGAACACAACTAATGATGACAGTGAGGGATACATATTCCTAAAGTTGCATTGTTTTAATCTTAACAGCGCCACCAACCGTTTCCATAACACCTGACCTTAGCAACGTACTCACCGGCAACGACCTTTCGCTTACATGTTCGGTAACGAGCTCCCTGTCCAGTTACACGGTTGCCTGGTACAAGGTAGGAAGTGCTGTGGCCTTGACCTCTAGCACAGATCACACAATCAACGGGAGAGTCCTCACAATCTTGTCCGCAGCCTCAGGGGATGCTGGGAACTACTACTGCACAGCAACCAACTCTGCGGGAACCTCCGCAAACAGCAATAATGTGGAGGTCGTCCTCTACAGTGAGTATAATGTTTGGATATTATCTGTCAGGGAATTTTATGGCAGTTTAGCTTTTGCCATTACCACCCTCTGTTACATAAATAAAGGAAGGAGACTTTGATCATAGAGGTGTTTAGCAGGTGAGTTTTGACTTTACCACGCTCTGTAAGGAGGGAGAATGTGATCATAGAGGTGTTTAGCAGGTGAGTTTTGACTTTACCACCCTCTGTAAGGAGGGAGAATGTGATCATAGAGGTGTTTAGCAGGTGAGTTTTGACTTTATCAGTGAAAGGTGACAGTTTGACTGAGTTATAGTTTCTAGGTAAATGTGACACTTTACAATCACCAAAGAGGAGCAGCGGTGACCAAGTGGTTAAAGCGTCTGACATTCTGCTACCACTAGCCCTCCATCACTGGCTCGGGTGTTCGAGACCTACGTAGGGCAGTCACCACATTCTGCTACCACTAGTCTTCTATCACTGGCTTGGGTGTTCGAGACCTACGTAGGGCAGTCACCAGGGGCACTGGCTATAGGTTGGTAGTTTTTCTCCAAGAACTCGATCCGGCTTTAATCCACCCACCAAAACCTTACATTATACAAACGAGTCAAGATTTATTATCTTAAACTTTCAAGACACCTATGCTATATAAATCTTACAGTAATGTTTCCTGAGACCTGTTTTTTTTCCTCATTCATCTTAAATAGTTAAAATAATCTCCGTAAACTCAAATTTTGATAACTTAAGCAAAAGTATTTACTACAAAATTTAACAATTGTGTCTATGGGAATGACATCAAAGTATAATTTTGATGCTGGGATGAAAAGTGATATCTCAATAACCAATATTGATATTAATATTACCGCGTGGAAAACTGTATAATTCTAACAGGATATCAAGTTTAAATGTCAATTCCGTCTTTTCGTATTGCAGAGTTATCTTCTCTTGTGAGCAGGGATTGATTGTTACGTCATTGGTTTTTGAGAGTTACGTCATCAATTTTTGAGAAAACGATGTAATTTTCTCACACAAACCAATGACGCAACATTCAATACCTGCTCACAAGAGAAGATAACTCTGCAATACACTGAAAAAAAACTAAATTAACATAAAATCAAATGGAAAACTGAGGTATTGTGAAAGACTTTTGACATTTGGGTGTACATCACTGCAGTCATGTGTGAATCCTATACGTATTTAACATCTACTATTACCTTTGCCATTTCCGCCTTTTGGTATGGAGGTGAATTTATCATTACAGCAAATAGTAGTGTGCTAACATACTTAACATAGTAATTCAAAGTGGTTGGGTAGGTGACCTTATACCTTTTCAAATCTGATCGGGGACTCGAACCCCTGCCACCACGGTGAAAGGATAGTGCGATATCCACTGTGCCACCCGACCAACCGTCATTGGACAGATTTTACCTGTGAAGGGCAAAAATTCCTAGAATACAGTATTTATAGTTTAAATTGTCAATGAAGAATGAATCGGTAAATTTCCTTTTTTTAGCTATTCCGACAAATGCTGTCAGCAGCCCGTCCAGCGTAACCACACAGGCAGGTCAGTCCTTCACACTGACGTGTTCCGCCTCCGCTTCACCGTCCAGTAGCATAAGCTACTCCTGGAGTTTCGGTGGTTCTGTCTTGTCAACAACGCCAAGTCTGAATGTGCCCAACGCCCAGAAAGGCAACAGTGGAACGTATGTGTGTGACGCCACAAATGCATATGGAACTACTTCGACAGACGTTGCTGTCGACATCCAATGTAAGTGCAGAATTTGATTTGTATGAAACTTCATGACAGGATCTGTTACAAGTGAGACACACAAAATGTACTTCTGTTCAACAAACAAACAATTCAGAAAACAATTGAATAGAATTTTGTTTTTAAATCTCCCGGCTAACCCCAACCCTTCTGACATTCCTACAACAGATGATTGTGATTTCACTTCAAATAAAGTTGGCTACTGTAATTATACGTTCTTTTATATAATGGACATGTTTTATAAGTGTTGTCTGGTGGCTTGACTGGATGTCAGCAATATGTCGTTCAGAGCCTAAATTTGGATTTACTATACCCCCACCTTTTCTGGAGGCACATAATGTTCCCCGTGGAATGGTGTCCCATTCTATCACCCACCTTGTGATGGATCATCAGGTTCGTGCACAGGTCAAGCATTCGACAAGTTTATATTTCGGGATCGCAAGGTCAATACCAAGGTCAATGCCAAGGTCACTGTTGCTATTGATTGGTCAAACAATGTTAACCCCCAGGTCAAGCATGGCTACCTAAGATGAGTTTGTATTTCAGGGTCGCAAGGTCAATGCCAAGGTCACCGTTACAATTTTATAAGTCAATCACAGGACCAAGGGACATGATTCATGCTTACCAGACATTTTGTGTAGTTAAAACAACTTGTATCGCATATAATTAACTTTCAATATTTGTTCCGCAGATGCTCCACAAAGCGCTGTGTCACAGCCATCTGTCTCGGCAGCCATAGGTACCAGCGTCTCCCTGTCCTGTGACACTGACGCTAATCCAGCTGCGACATCTTATGTCTGGTTTGACGGTAGCACTCAGCTCGCCGTCACTGAAAAGATCAACTCTGTAGAGGTGAGTTAAAATTGAAATTGTTAATATCTGCAAATTTTTAATAGTGTAGTTACGGGTAAGGTAGTTAAAAAGGAATGCAAATTTATACTTCTAAAGAGAGGTAAAATCCCCCTATTTTTAAGCACCAGTTCTCTATTTAGCTCACCCTATCCTTCTACTAATATGAGAGTCCCATCTTTAAGCCATAAATGCAGTACCACTAGAAGGTGATTTTTCAATAGTTTCCTTTTTTTCCAAATTGCTGTAACTGGCCAGTGGCTAATTGAGGTCGAATAAAGTGTGACTTTTTATTAGTAATTTTGAAAAGAAATTTTACTTCGTACTCCAATATCAGACTTGAGGGGACTTAACAAACTAAATCACTATATAAGTATATAACAAACATTTGTGAGTTAAATATTCCTGAACTGATTCCATTGGATTTGACAAACTTTATAAACACCAGGGGGCTTAGTAATTTGGGGAGGTTATAATGATTGCACTGACCCTTTCAAAATATTCCAAAAAATTACATAACTATTAAGTTCAAGAGATAATTGAATCCCCTCCTTCCATCTTCTTGCTATAGGCCGGGTCAGCAGTAAAGACATACACGTGTCGGGCAACAAACGATGTGGGACAGTCCGGGGACATCGTGTTTACCGTCACTGGGACATCCACAGGTGGTGGGGGCGAACCAGGTTTGTACTGTAACGCTTCAACACATATTACAATATTAAGGATCCCTGTACCACATCTTGATACATTACAGTATTGGATCCTTGTACCACATCTTAATATATTACAGTATTAAGGATCCTTGTACCACATCTTGATACATTACAGTTCTAAGGATCCTCATACCACATCTTGATACATTACAGTATTAAGGATCCTTGTACCACATCTTAATATATTACAATTTTAAGGATGCTTGTACCACATCTTAATATATTACAATTTTAAGGATCCTTGTACAACATCTTAATATATTACAATATTAAGGATCCTCGTACCACATCTTGATATATTACAGGATTAATGATCCTTAGTATGTATCACATTTCAATCTATTTTAATATTAAGGATCATTGTACCACATCTTGATATATTACAATATTAAGGATCATTGTACCACATCTTAATATATTACAATATTAATGACCCTTGTACCACATCTTTATATATTACAGGATTAATCATCCTTATAGTATGTACCACATTTCAATATATTACAATATTAAGAATCCTTGTACCACATCTTAATATATTACAGTATTAAGGATTTTCCTACCACTGCCAAAAGATTTTAACTATTAATTTGAAACTTTTCCTACATAACCATAACTAATAAATATATCATCTTTTTGAAAATAAGCATATATTCCTTAGCTTCAGGGACTTTTATAAAAAATATAATTGATAAGAATTTGTTTAAAATAACCAACATTACTGAGCTACCTGATCAGCCCTAGGTCCCTTACCTAGCCAGACTAAGTTATATTCAAAATGACATTAAGGGGAGGTAATACTATACGTGTGAAAAACTACGGTGAAATTCTGTAGCATTTTGCCTACAACAATTAAACCCTAAGACAACAACATCAGAAACAGTATGAATTTGTTTCTCTCTATATATATACGTAGATAAAGTTACTACCTGTTGCACCACCTCTTTACACAGTCCATTGTAAGTCTTTTTTTATATTTTATAAAATCATTTTTGGAAGAAAGGTAATTATGTAACATTTCAACCAAATTTGTAAATAATGAATTAGACTTGTGTAGAATTTCATCAGAAATAATTCAGTGGACTTAAATTTTTTGGAGGGTCATAAATATCCTAGAAGCATAAACTGTTTGGATTTTCAGACATAGAATCTGCCTGAAATATTTGAATTAACATTAAATTGTTTAAATTTTCAGATACGGGAGCCTCTACTGGTGATACAGGCACCAGTCTTTCTACAGGGGTCATCGTAGCTATTGTCCTGGGCATCGCCTTCCTCCTCTTGATCATCATCATCATCATTGTCTGCTGTATATGTTCAGGTTTGTTAATGCGTCACATACCACTAAAGTCAGTGAGGAGTCCTTATTATGCCACAATTTCTAGCCCCTAGCACGATTTCTAACCCATTTTAGAAATTGTGACGTAACAGACTATATTTGATATATATTTATGTATTTCTCTTGTGTATTCATTCATTTTGATGATATAAAACAGAAAATTTGTTGGTTTCAGTTTGTTAATGCGATGAATTTAATTTATAATTGTATAATTGAACATAATCTTAAATGAGATGAGTGGTAAATTCTGTTGAATACAAACTTGAGTGTTAAATTTGTGAGAATTGCTCTAACTTGAAAAGTATAGTATCCTGATGACCGTTGTTGACTGTAAAACATTTGTAATTATATTAATCTACAATAACTAAATTAATCTAGACGGCCATCTTGATGTGATCTGTTACAGGAAGCTGTAAAAAGAAGGAGAAGAAGAAGAAGAAGAAAAGTCAGATCACGCCTAAACCCGAGCCAGAGGTTTACGAGACTCGTACAGAACAGCCTATCTATCATGTAGAAACCTACACCCCCAGACACAAACCTAGGCCATACAGGTATTTAATACATTCTCTGGCTAGTATACTGTGTTAAATGTAATGTTATCCTTACACACATGCATGACAATATATTTTCACAGTAAAGACATGACTGATAATTGGTTGTTTTAAGTTCCTAAGCCTATAATATTAAAAAAAAGGTTAATTTGATTGAGAAAATATGATAAAGAAAATATCATACTTGTTCCCTGTACATCTGAAATTTGAGAGAAAACTATATGGGAACTCTTGAGGCTTAAGATCCTTTTATATACATATATATATATGAGTTCACCTGAAGAAGCCCAAGAAAGCAGAAAGGCAAAAATTAGCAGTCAGTTCTTGTGTACTTCTTGTTTTATTTTATATTTTTCTTTATTATCTACTATATATAAATATATATCTAGACTAAAGCTTAGTACTGGTGACTGCATGGCTTCGTTAACCTCTTGTTATTTACTCCCTCTCTTCCTGGTACTTACTAACAAGTGAGAAATAAAGGTTTGCACTCCATCCGTTAGTCTTTCAGAGTTAATGGCCCTTTGTTCACTGTGGATCACTTTGTCAATGACATGAGCATATATATATATAGCATATGTATCCTGTGGTTCAAAATTGCCAAAGTTTGTACAGAATGTGAGTTTACCTGTTCAGATGGCAGAGAGTCGCATACTTACTTTGGGCCGCATGTGGCATGAAATACAGGGTTATGTCCCTTTGTTGATGTTGGTCCTTGTTTGTTCACATTTACCAGGTACCAAAAAAAATGTTCACCTAAAGTTTTCTATCTGAAGTTTTTCAATTTACAATCACTTCTATGAAAAAGGGGAATGAAAAAGGGGAAAGTCATTAAGTTATAGTAAATTCAATGTATTAGTTTATTACATAACAATCATCTGACACGTACGTTCTAAGACAAAAGAAAGAAGAAGACTAACTATTTCATCAAAATATTATAATCCTAAGTCTCAACAGGCCACAGTAAAATGTTGCGCTTGTTTGTCCAGCAATCTTGTGTACATGGTCATATATTACTGTACTCAGTGTGATGACATTTAACTGTGACGTCAAGATGGTGTCCATTTCAAATAACCCTGAAGAGCTCTGTGAAAGGTGAAAGCTGATTCTATAGATATATATAATATCTAGACATAGTTAAATTGTTGGGGTTAAGGAGAATTCAAACTGTCAGCATCAGATATGTGAAAAAAAAACATCTACACATTTACAGTGAGTTTAACCCCTCCATCGTATCTCGGAAGCATGTGGATGTGGACATGGAGAGCTCCGATGGTCACGGCGGTTACGGATATATATACGGCAACAATTATCAAGCTGAAACTCAAAGGTAAGAATCATCAACAAAAATTTCACCAGTACATTATTCCTTGGAAATGGAATTTTAGACGGAGTTGTGGCCATTCTAACCAAGTCATATCAGAGGCTCAGCAAGATTAAACAGTTTTCTTGTATCAACATTTTTAGTGTAGCAGATTTTGCTTAGAACTGGTATATATATTTAGTTAAGATAGGAACGTTTTGTGGGTTGGAGTAGCTGAGTCTGAGAATCTTGAGAAAGGAGGTTGAGTTTGTGAGTCTGACTTTTGGAGTCCTAACTATTAAGGAGGTTGAATTTGGGAGTCAAAGTTTCAGAGTCTAAGTAAAGATGTTGAATTTGAGAGTCGAAGTTTTAGAGTCTAAGTAAAGATGTTGAATTTGAGAGTCCAAGTTTCAAAGTCTGAATAAGGAGGTTGAGTTTGGACATCTGACTTTTGAGTCAGAGAATAGAGGATGAGTTGGTAGTCTGAGTAAAGTAGTTGTGTTTTGGAATCTGAGTATAAAGGAAATTGAGTTTGTGGGTCTGAGTGAAGTAGTGAAGCTAGGGAGTTTAGGTTGAGTGATCTGGATAGAGGAAAATTAGAGGTTTCGTATGTAGTTTATTGTTTATAGCTGGAGTTGAGATTGGGTCAGAGAGATTGAGTTCTGTAATAGAATTCTAGATATAAACAAAGGAAATGCTTTGTGTACAATGGGTGAAGACTGCATGTTTTTTTTGGATTGTTTTTTTTTTGGATTTATTTGTGTTGTAAATTGAGTGTAAATATTAATGTACTTATTTTGTAGTTCAAATTGTTTGAACTTTTGGAAGCTGCGACTGAAAAGCATCAGTAATACAAAAAGATAATGTTATGCTGGCCACCAATAGTGGAGGTTAGATAATTGAAAACTGGTGGCAGTGGTGGGATTAGTAAATATAACGCTGGTGGCAGTGGTGGGATTATTAGAAAGTGTAACAATGATAAATTTGCTTCTTTTCTATTAGCAGGAAATCATCTGACCATGGCCACAAACACAATTTTTTTCTGTTCATTTTATAAAATATCAACTGCAAAACACCCTTGAATAATAAAAACATAATTATCTGCCGGGCTTCGTGTCTGTGGAATAACTACAACAAATGTTAACCAATTTTTTTCAAACTTTTTCACAGCGTTTAATGACTTAATGAAGGGCTCGGTCAAGTTAAATGACCACTTTCAGCTTTATTTGGCTGAGTTATGGCCCCTTGAATAAAGAAAAACGTCATTATCTGCCGTTTCTGTTCACTAACTCTCTCAAATATAATCCGATTGTCTTCAATCTTGATAACAATGTTTGTGATTCTCTGTTGTTCCACCCATTTTGGGCACTCTTTGGTTTAATGCTTTGTTCTGTTTGTGTGTTGTTGAAAATATTATTCAATGATGTTAAAGATTACACGGCGTTTATTATAGATACTGTATTCCGTGAAACGTTCACTCGGTCAAATTCACACTCTCATTACAGAAGGTAAAAAAGTTGCAAATTAAAATGCGGCAAAACATCCCTGTATACAGTTATAGAGCATGTTTGATGTCTTATTGTAGGAGTACTACCTCCCGATTTGTCGTGAGAGCCCCACCTTCTGCCGTGGAGAGTGAGAATGGAACAATCATGTAAGCTTGAAAGTTTTATCTTGTGGACGTAATATTGAATCATAAGTAAAACATTGTCTACTTTTCATTGCATCCTTTAAAAGCTGTATGAAATAAATTTTTGTAGAACAGTTATGTGAATTTATTTGTAAAGATGTATCACAACCTGTGTTGCAATGTTACATATCAGAGATTTACGTGTACTTATAGTTAATCACGGGGTCTGTCTATCTGTCTGTCCGTCCACACTTTCATTTCTGTAAAGTATCTCTGAATTGCTAAATATATGGGAACTTCTAAGGTCAAGGTCAAGGGTACTATTACTGCAATGGACCAAGGTGGTAGGATCAGACACATGGTAGGGCCCTTGCTGATCGGCCTGTCAGTGTTTTAGGTATGAAAGCATAATACATGTACATAATTAATATTGTGGTTTAATGTTTTCCCGATCAGAATCTGTAAGGTTCTTTTTCGTACTTCCAATAGACCCTACATGTACATGACACTGTAAAACTTTATAGTGGGACTAGAGCAATACGGTTGGCTTATCTAAAAAAAAAAAACAATTGATGCTGGCATGGGACATAAGTAGCATTCACATGTACATTTTTGGTTTTCCAGTTGCCAGTGCTGCACAGCACAAAAATTTGATTATTTAGACTATTTATTTTATTTTTCTTATGTATTTCATCTCTTTAAATTTGTATCGAATATTTCAGGTTTTACATTTATTTCAATTGATTGATTTTTTTCCATTTCCTTTCCACAGCTCTGTGTATGATGACAGCCGCCATCTAACCTCTAAACGTGTAAAACACCCTGTCCACCTATCAGGGGAACATACGTATAACACGGAGAATACCCATCGTGAAGCGCGACGTCATCGTCGTCACAAAAAGAAGCATCATCACAAGAGGGAGGCAGGAGAGGGAGAAGAAAGTCCGCCAAGAAAGGAGAGAAGGGAAAGGGCCGAATCTGAACACAGGGATGGAAGCCGTAGAAAGAAAGAAAAAAGGGACAGGTCAAAACATAGGAGGTCAAGGAGTGAAAGAAGAGGAGAGTCTGAGGATCTTAGGGAACATGGTTATATAAGTGACGGAAGTCCGGCTTATAGCCAGGACAACTTAGTTACTACCAACTAAGTGACAAAGGTGACCTTGACCCTGAAAATAGGAATATTTTTTATATGTGATACGAATGTGACTGGGACAAGCTTCCCAGCAACAGACGAAAATGCTCCAAGTCCTGATGCTGGTAATCAGATTTGACAATCTGATTTTCAAGGATTTTTAAGGATCTTCAATAAGTGTGGAGTTGAAGGAATTAATCTATTTTTATAGTGCATAAATATAGAGTGATAAGTTACGAATTAAATATCCTAACATGTGATAAAACACTAGCCTTGTGTGATTAATAACCTCTAATGGGACAAATGTGGTGATTATGTATTAAGATTAAGAGTCAAGAAAGTTCATATATTATGTACATATAAATGTCTCCACCAAGAAATTTAAGTTTTCTCAATAGGTATGCTATACTTCAACTTCCATATCAGGCAAAGCATTTGCGAGGGCATTCCCAAAGCATTACGAAATCTTAAAACCCTTGCAAAAATTTTGCACTACGCAATAAAGTGTATATGATAACATTTTCAAACCAAATCTAGTAAAGTGCATATCTCTGAGTGTTAATTAGATAAAAATAATGTACAGAAAAGCTCGCATTTGTGATTATTTTTTTTATATTTGCATTTTTTATTTGAATCTTGATTTAAGAGTAATTATAACGATAATGCCAGTCCATTTTCTGATAATAAGTACATCAGGTTTTTTTTCTGTTCATTTCGCAACTCAAAAAATCCTGGTTATAGCTTCACATTTTGGCTTTATCATACATTGTACTTCATAAAAATTCACAATTTTTCATATATTTTTTTGAAAATTTCTAAATTGAATTGTTGAATTCTAATGCTTGAAAGTGTCAGGTCTTGACCTTATCTGGATATTTGATTATTTTGAAAAGAATGATTTTTCACAATTTTTGGAAATTTTCCATTCTTAATTTTTGAATTCTCAAAGATATGATGATATGAGAAAATATATATGTATAACAATTAATCTAGAATGCTTTGTCTGGTATTGTTAAAAGTTTGATTTTTTATGATAATTATTCTTTAACTACTTTTATTGGAAGCACTCTTGATTATTATATTAGAAAACTTAGTTAGCAATATTTATAAAAAATTGCAATATTCATATTTTTTTTACTTATGTATGATCTTAATTAAATCTCTCACGAGATCAAGTAATGAAATTTCACCTTTTTTGCAATGTACTTATACTTATTAACGTGTCACGACTCTCTCAAGCTAGGACTAGTGAACTGAGTGAGGGGTTTAACATTATTTAAATGTTGTACGATGTGACGAAATTCTTATAATCAAATTCATGTTTATCAATCAAAAACCCCTACATCATAACTAATTTACAATTTAGTTAGACAGGTATCGTCCCATATAGATTCTAGAACAAATGTATTATTCACAGTTTTTTTTATAACTGACCTCTCCGTTTGAAATGCCTGGAAAATTTGTTGAAAATAAATGATGCTATATAATAGTTCTTTAAAAGCAATGTATTCAAATTGCTGTCAGATCTTATTTACGCTTATTCATCTATAAATTTAAATGAGATTTGAACGTCTTGTTTTATCCGCATATCATTTCACATTGTGTAAAATCACCAAGAAGGTCAATTTTAAAAACAAATGATTCACAAATCTCTTCTTACAGATTTAAAAAAAGTGCTACTTAAAATACTATGGATGTTTTCTTTAAACATTACCAGGTAAACATCGTTTGAAGTGCAATTATGAAAATAAATAATTGTGAAATAATTAATTGGTATACCATAGCTGACCTATTATCATGCAATTGAAAGTCTTTTTACAAATAGTACAAACGAATGCACAACCCTAACAATACTACATGTACAAGGTAAACTTTTGAACAGTTTATGTTAGTGGTTATCAATAGGGGAAAAGTTTGTACCTTAATTTAAAGTAATTTGATTTTATGTTGAAAGACTTTGATTAATAAAAATGTCTGCTAATTGAATTTCTTTCTAAACTGGAATTTGTTTCCTTACAACAATTTTATTTGCTTATTTGATTAACTTATTCACCCCTGAAGTCACATTTGAACCCTTCCAATTCAAAGGTTGGAATAGTTCATTATGAAACTTAAGGGTGAATGAGTTAAATAGGGTACAGTGATAGATTAGTGTTGTAACAATCATTGAATTATTTACATTTTTTTTATTTATTTATACACTTTATGTAAATACATGTATCAAAATTGCTTTACCTTTGTAAATATTTATATCTGTTAGCTTGTTAGAAACGTATATATTCCTTTTCTTAAATACATGTCATCCTAAATATGAACATATATCTATCATACTTTATATTGTGTATGTATATATCATGTATATATATCATTAGGTAAATACTCATGTAGATCAAATGTTCAATCTTTCATTCAAAACCCTTATTTACCTTAGACATATACTCTTTCATTTATAAAGAAGAGTTCACAATGTTTATTTTGTCATGATAGTGTTAAAGGTAACTTGCAAAATGTTTACATTTGAACATTTTAAAGAACAGGTCCAGCATTTTGTGCCGAAAATAAGCTGAACAATTCTTTGGCAAACAAAACTAAACAAAATGTTTGAGGTAGTACAACAAACAAAAGATTCTGGGAAATTTGAGTGTCATTGGGCAAAGGGGATACTGGAAGTTGGGTTCGATTTTAGTAGTATTGCATGGGTGTGTCTCTCCTCCCTGCAACGTTTAATTGGAAAGGAAATCATACGTAGTGTAAGGAATTTCTCAACCAAGCTTCTGTATTTGTAATAATTTGTTATGGTATGTCTGACAATAGATTCATTTTAGGTGCTATGCAAAGAGAAAGTGATAATTGTATTTGTTATAATTGCAGTTTGTGGAATGTCCAGAGGAACTTGTAATGTTCCTAGGCCTGTTGGGATAGCAATTATTTTGGAGATTGGTTTCTTTGAACATTTTACACTGATACTCTGTGCCATGATAGCTGTTAAATTGATGATTAAATGTCATTTTCTGAATACTTTAACAACTTGATAATGCACATATCGAGATAAAAGAATGTAATATATGTAAAAAAAAATCTTAATTAGTTTAATAATGCAGAATTGTGTTTCCTTTTATACATGTTTTGCATTCAACTTCAGCACGAGGAGCTCCTTCATATATTCAAATATTTTTGTTTTAAAAGAATAATTGTAAAAGCATGCATTCTTTCTGAAGACTTATGCAATGTGAAAATGAATACATAAGATATTTATATGTATTTTTTCAGATTTTTTTTATTGTTTATGAGGTTACTGAAATTTCATTTGTTTAAAACTTCAAATTAATTTGACAACGTAACATTTTCTTATTATTCTCTGTGAACTTTTCAGTTTGAACATTATAAGTTTAGGAAGAACTTACGACACCAAAAAAGTTTTATTTCAAGTATAAAAAACAACAGGGATTTATAAGGATTTTGATTTGTGTGATGGATATTTGATGAAAATTCTTATCTCAAAATTATTGAGATTTAAATTAGAACTTTTCCGTCCATTTAAAATGTATTCTATACTTTGAACCACATTCATATGTGATTTCCGTAGGATTTTGTAACATTCAATATGATTGGAGAGAAAAATTCCATATTTATTGTATCAGTTGTTGTGATTGGACAGACTCATTTTGTTACAGTATTATATTCACATAAAGAATCTCATTACTGAAAATACCTTACTGCTTTTCATTAGTTTGATTCTTGTTATTCCTTAAACTCTTTCTCTGCTATAGGCAAATAAATTTGACAAAATTTTGGAATGCCCATATACCCTTTTAGTTTATTGGAAAAATGCATTTTCTATCTGGATATTTATTATTTGTAATAATTGATGCAGTCCTTGTAAACAGTAGTAGGGTTTATGTGTTTGTTTAGTCTGAAGAAGGCAAACTTGCCAACTCTACTGAAGGGGGGACTTCCGATTTTGTACCCTAATGAATTTGCTAAGCTATTCCATTTTTCTTAGATGTAATAATTTTTATCTGAAAGAACAACTCGGAGGATGCCATTATCAAGTGTAGTATTTTCCCTTGGGGATATATGCTGTATATATATACGCATTTTGTTATCTTTATAATTTTGAGCATGCAGAACTTTCCCGTGGAAATTTTAAAATGTTGGCAAGTATATATGTGAAAGAAAGATAATTTTGTTTATATATTCTTTTATATTTGATATGGCTGTGGAAAGGACTTCTGGATTTCATGTTAATCGTTTCATTTGTCATGTATTTATTTTGGTACATAAAGAGGTTGAAATGGAATAAGTCTGTAAACTGGATTCTTATTAAGATTCTTAATAATTCCGTCCAGAGAAGGTTTATCAGATTTTAGATCATTCTGTCCAGAGAAGGTTTATCAGATTTAATAAAAACTCTATCCACCAGTTATTAAGCAGATTTTAAATCTGTGCAGAGAATATTCCGCTGATCATAAATAATTCCGTCCAGAAAATTATTTAACAGAAATAAAATAATTCCATCAAGAAAATCTTGAGAATACGCTCTACCTCTAAAATCATGGACAACTAATTATACTGCCTGTTGGTTGTTAGCACATCCATGATCAGCACATAATGTGATAAAACAGACAGTTATGGCCATGTTGTTAATTTATTTTCATGATTTTTTAACGCTTTTAAAAGATATCAATATTATATTTTTTATCCTTGTAAATAACCTTTATCATGACCTCTCAACTCTTGACATCATGATTGGGATAGTAGAGGTGACATTGTTGATTTCAAAATGTAGTGCTTTAAAGCTTCAAAACAATGTTCAAAGATGTCATTATTTTCAAATTATTTGTATAAGGTTTTGTTTTTGAGATAGAAAAAATCTTAGACCAGTTAAAATCCCATATGAGATTTATGAAACCAGTACAAAGATTTTATTTTAACTCTGTACATTCTCTTACTTAAATGAAAAGTTCTAGACATGTTTTATAATCTCTTAATGGTTTGAAATTTACTCAAGATTATACAGATATGGTTTAATAAGGTAAACGTTACAATACATAAAGTACTATTGGTTTAATATAAATATGTTTTTAATTTTTTGCTTTAATTATAACTAATTAATTAAAAGATCAGTTGATATTGAAAAAAGGATGCTTTATAACACGTAACATATTTGTGGGGGCCTCCTCTGATTTGAGTTTACAAACTATTGGTTGACATGTAGTTTCACCATTTGTATGTGTTATGATATAAGGTTCTTGAAACAAGAAAAACATAAACACATTTTGTGTATGCTAAAGGTATTTATACAAAAAGATCTACTTGTTTTCTTTTATTTTTCATGTTCATTTTCAATCATAATAGAGTTTCTCATCTTACGACATGTAAGACTTTTACATTTTCAAGATTTTGTTCATACAAATTGGAAAAGTGCAGTTATCTCCCTTGCATTGTTAACTGTTGGTTATTTTCTGTTCATGTTATCAAAGTATTAAAAAAAGATTTTCATGCTGTAGATGAAAACTCTGAAATAAATTCATTCTATATTAATTAAGATTATTCTCTTGTTTTTGAAAGATAGATAAAGAAATTTGTCTTTAAGTGGCATTTATATGAGGAACCTGTGTAACTCTTGTCTTTAAGTGGCATTTATATGAGAAACCTGTGTATCTCTTGTCTTTAAGGGGCATTTATATGAGAAACTTGTGTAACTCGTCTTTAAGGGGCATTTATATGAGAACCTTGTGTAACTCTTGTCTTTAAGGGGCATTTATATGAGAAACTTGTGTAACTCTTGTCTTTAAGGGGCATTTATATGAGGAACCTGTGTAGCTCTTGTCTTTAAGAACTTCTATGGAATGGAGCACTCTCTACTCTCTAGCTACATGTACAAGTACCGAAATGAAACCTGCCTATGAGATATCGGTGTTGGTAACAAGTTGTCTCTGAAGAACCTTAATGGGATGACGTTTCTATGAGACATCCATGTCAAGAATTTAAAGAAAATCCCGTCGGAAAAGGACGTTTATGGAAATAAAACATTGAAAAGGTAAAATGTATACGTGTGTGTTAAAGTGTGTAGTCTATGGAAATCAACGGAACCTGTTCACACAGAAATCTTCTGTATGGAAAATATATTTATCAAGGTGATTGCCGACATTTTATACTTTTCTTAACAAGGAAAAGTGCAACATAATCTAAAAATATATAGAATGTTCTTACAATTACTTGTACAATCTGACAACATGTTAGTGTTTAATACCATAAGGAAAACTGTTTTATTTTTTAATCAATTAAATTAACCTGTTAAAAATAAATTATATGTAAAGGTTTTTGAAGGAAAGGTTTGGATTTTTTTAATTGGGTTTAACGTCCTATTAACAGATAAGGTCATTAACGTCGTGCATCCATGTACTAAGTATGTAATGTGTGCTGGAGACCGGGTATGTTGATGTAATTGCCTTCTTTCGAAAGCGCTGATCTGATGCCGAATTTAGAGTGTTACCTCACTGAAATCCGATGCCGAAGTCACGCAGGAAAACATTCCGCCCGGTCACATCATACCGACAACGGGTGAACCAGTTGTTGCGATTAGACTTACTTTAATAGACAACTAAGATATAAAAAAAACCTGCATAAAGGCATTTACATTGATAAAACAATTTGAAAGGAAAATTTGTGAAATAGCCTGAGTGTTCTCTGGCCTTGACACCAGACCTAGACATTCTGACAGATAGATAACAGATAGACGTCTATCTGTCAAAATGTCTACCTTCCTGTTTAAATGTCTACGTCTGGTGTCAGGGCCAGAGGAAACCCGGGGTAGTAGTTCAAGCAAACTTGTCAGTAAGAACACTTTAGATGTGAAGCATGTGCTTTATGCTACAAGTGTGAGAAAACAGGTAACATGTTTCGATATAGATCAATATGTCACAAGTTTAGACTGTAAGAAGACATTAGCTGGTGTTTATCATGGATAATAATTAAAGGAATTTATTTAACATTTAATTTTTGTTACCGATTTTTGTCGAATGTAATGCATTTTAATCTTAAGTTTGTATCTGTTTTTATTTACACCCTTTAAATTGGAGTCAAAAAGTCTTGAGTCACCAAGTACTGAATCTAGAATACAGATTGTGATTTTATGTTTGTAGGTAGGTAGATATTGTCTTTGTGGATAATTAAAACAATGTTCCCTATCTTTCTATCAAATTCCTCTCCTGGGGTATCGTAAACATAATTTTGACGCATTCAATTAAGGTTTAGATTTGGCCCGATACAATATTTGTTATGTAGATTCTATTCATATAAACAGAATCCGGTTGACATAATGAATAGCTAATGATCGTTTGATAAGGAATCTTGTCAGAACTACCCACCGCTTGACGTTCAGTTCAAAATAGGTGTGGTAAGTACAGGCTAACCCGTTCGCGCCGTATCAGAATAGTGTTACTACCATGTCATGGTACAAACCTCCCACTGTGGAGGAACTTTAAAATGACCAATAGTAGTTATACCATCGTGGACTTAATCTTAAGAAGACAGATGATCTATTGCTAGGACTTTATACATTAAAAACACCAACCAAACTTTCAACTATTCGCTGAGGCTTGATTAGGGTGGCAGCCTATATAAATACGATTCTTGTACACAATGTGACGTCAATACTTTTAATTCTTACTTAACGGCGGATATATCAATCTGTTATAATTTTGACAAAATCCTGCTTGGAATCGGATTGTTAATCATTTTACAAAACTATGAAATAATGCAAAACGTCATTATCTAAACATCTATGGTCCGATTTTTATTTATTTCATTTCTCTTTACTCTTAATGAAATTTCTGGTTAGAAATAGGAAACAAAAACTAACCACAAGCATGTATAAACCTAACAAAGACATATTGCATACATTTCTCAATAAAATTCTCAATGAACATGTGAAATCAACAGGCGTGGTTATTACGATCAACACTTTAGATATATAGGTCTATGACTATGATGTGTTCAGTTAAGACAAAGATTAGTCTAACATGTTTGAAATGTAACACCACACCGTACCCCTTTATCAAGATAGATTCCACTATTCAGATTTGTGGTGATACTCATGGTTTGGTAGAATACATACCTTACGTCCAAACTAAAATTCCTTATAATCTACATTGAACCGGATTGTAAATTGAATTATGAAATATGAATATTGCATTTTTTTTTGTTTTTAATTTAAACATTTTTGCCAATGATCTGATTTTATTTATTGATATCTTTGATCCAAGATAGAATTTCGTGTTTCATGTGCGTAAAAATATAGCTTATCATAAATAATTTAAAGTAAACGACCTCTGACGAAATGTATACACCTCTATGTAAGTTGAACCTGTGTAATCTATACAGAATATTATGTATTACGACCAGCACCGTAAATATATATATATATTTGTGTGTGAAGTGTTCAGGTGAGACAAGATCAGTCAACATGGTTCTGTCTTCACATCCCATGCCGTACCCCTTTATCAAGTTAAATTGCATGAATAGAGATTTGTGGTGATAATTGTATGGTGGAATACACACCTTACGTCGAAACTAACACGCATAATAATCTACATGCTACAATGAACTGTTCTCGAAGGTCCCAATTGATCAAAAAAGAAATGCATTTTTTGTTTATCTTTATACAATGTAGTGCATTGTGTATTTGAGGGTACAGAAAAAATGGAAACATTCAAGCATGATAGCACAATGCATGTCGATAATTTATTGAATGTTGACATATTCCATATGTATTACTGTTAAGGGTTATTCAGGGCGATTTGTACTATATCATCATGCTCTTGTGTAAATCAGGTTACGACTCCCTGATAAATGGCCTTAAAAGTGTGGGAATAGTAAGGTTTAGCAGACCTTTAAAGCTTAAAGGCACATCACGATAGAGTTTCATCAAATTCTGCATTCTAATGTTTAGCAATACAAAAATTAAGTTATCATGTCTTTACATTTATGTTATTTAGCAATCCTAAATCATACTGTACAGCCCCGATTAAAAATGAATAGCCCATTGTTTTGTTTAGATCATAAGGGCACAAAATTAAAAATTAGAGTTGTTTTTGTATATTTTCATTTAATAATAATAATTATATGCCCTACATTTCTGAACAAAATTAATTCGGTATGGATTCCTACCTTTCAAATGTTCATTTCTAACCCTCTTTTCTCCCCTCATGTATTTGGATGCGTCACTTTACTAGAAGTACATATCACCAAGTTGGTTATTGTCAAACACCAAAACCATCATGGATCACATATTTCTGCTCCATATAAGGCTTCCATCATAGATCAGAGTGTCTTCCATTAAATCCAGAGAAAACTTAGGGTTTGTGACAAAAGCAAGTTCGATCCTGAGATGTATTTCCTGTTCCTAATGTGTCTTCCGTCATAAACTGAAACATTTATAGATCATGTTCCATTAATAAGAGAAAATCAGATTTTGATAGCGAATGATAACAAAATATATATCATGGTATATATTGGATCCTTTCTTGCTGATACAAAGAAAGACAACAACCCACAAAAACAGTTCTTATGCCATGCACAATTGTTTTATAACATCTCATCAGGTTTACAAGAGACCAGCACACTGGAACTTATAAAGTGTAAAATAAAGCCAGAAACCAGGGTTAAATACACTAAGTAGCTTTGAAAAGAAATTAATCGTTAGGTATTATAAAAAGGTTTTGGAGTGCATATATCAGTTGTGGCATGAAACCTTCGTGAGGCATTGATTTTTGTTCTCCGTTAAGCATTCTCTTAACTTCCAAGGTAATAAAACACGTATGTCTAGGGAGACACAGCTTAAAAGGATGAGAAGGTAAGATAGAACAGATAGAGGTTCCACGTACAGCAGATTAATTCTGGTTCCTTCAATGTCCCTATTAGAAAGCACAGAGGAAAATTTCTGTAAAGGTCGACTGAAATTTTATAAAAGTTATTGTCGAAGTCGTTACGTTAAATATTTGGTAAAGGTCGTTCTGTTAAAATGTTTGGTAAAGGTCGTTATGTTAAAAAAAATTGGTAAAGGTCGCTTTGTTAATATTTTTGGTAAAGGTCGTTTTGTTAAAATTTCTGTAAAGGTCGTCACTTTGTTAAACATTTCCATAAAGATAGTTTTGGTCAATTATCTTATGCTTAAACAGTTAAGAAAATAGCAAATGGATGCTTCTAAAGCTCTTTATGTCAAATTTGAAAAGAAATAGAACAAAGCAAAAACAAAAACAAGAAAAGAAATATTGAAAACAATCAACTTAGATTCCAATGATAAATTGAGGTAACGTGAAAAACTCATACTTTAAAGTTGTTTATATTCGCAAAGGATTTATCTTCACTGCATTTGCGGTTATCGCGAAATTAAATCAACCACCGATCATTGAAACTATGAATAATGTTCTCAATGTCTATTTATTGACAGACACAAAAGAAAACATCTGTTTACACATTCACTATCGAATATTGATAAACAACAACTCAATATAGCATTTTGCTTTTATTCCACAAACACTTGTTAAACAGATCCCATCACTCAAATAAAAAAGCAAAAAGAGCGCGATATTTTACCTAGCAATGCAGCGAAATATCTAATCCCCGGGAACTAGCTCTGGTCGGGACAACCGCGAAATATTAGCCCCGCGCAATTAGAGAACTGTACAGTATACGGTATGTAGGAACAAACGGTATATAATAAACGTGATACCTTACAATGACACGACACGTAATCTCATGTAATTGATACGTGTATAGTCTTGTTTACTAACCCGACAAATATAATACACTTATCACGTTCATCTCCATTTGTATTGTAAGACCATTGGAATAAGGTTGGTTAAGGCACCTCCTGTATGTGGTTGTTGGTTATACGCCTGACTATTTAGTGTAAATATGTATTGACATGATAATAGGGGTAAGGAAATTACACCTCACTGTATTTAATATTACAATATATTGACCATATATATGTATTTTGTCGGTAATATACCTGATCTAAAACCCACGTGGTCGGGCAGGTTACCAAATACTTTTTTAAACCCAAATCGGGAACTCAAACCCCGAACCGTTTTGATGAAAGGCGATTGCCCTCTCCGCTTCGAGACCCAAATCATTCTTATTGAACAAATATTTTTATGTTTCTGTCTTGCATTTTTGAAACTTCAATATGTTAGCCTCCGGTAACTCTGAAGAGTTATAATTATTTTTAAAAACATATATGCATGTACGGCGACACAATTTGGTATCGTGTGTGCTTAATTTCTGAGATTTGACTCATGGTCCACATCAAATCTCAAAAGAGTCACAGATAGCCTTCGAATGAATTTTTACATTCAATATGAATCGATCAAATGAACTTGCACTTAACGAAAAATGTCTCTACACTTTTTACAAATAAAAGACATCAACAGAACACTTGCACGACGAAGGTTAAGTTATAGGCTATAGTTATCGAAAAGACTTAAAACATTTAAGAGGAAGTGTCAAATGAAAGGCCACTACACACATAAATAACTAATGCTGATCATTGGTCTTGTTATGCTGTTAGCACAATCAATCTCTCAAGGCGTTTTACTGTAAATACATAATGCAAACCTCAATAGGGCTTATCGGTTGAGAAAGAGTATCAACATTCATTATTGCTTTCGAAAAATGGCATATTGCTGTTGTTGCCGCAACAATAGATTTGGATTAGGTTTTAACGTATGGTGACTGACAATATTTTTCATACAAAGACACAAGCAGAATATCACAAGGTTGTAACCAAATTTCAACCACTAAGGTTAAGTGAATTGAAAGTCACAATCAAAAGTCATTATTATTTTATCATATTTTTTCATTAAATACGGTAAATCCCTTTCATTATAAATATCGTATCGTGATAATTAATATGTTGTTATTACAACCAATATGGTGTATTTCAATATTTTTGATAACACATATGCATTTGATTAAATCTGGATCGTATCGTGAGAGGTGATGAACAATGCCGAGGTTCTTTATCACGGGTTGGGTGGAGTAACATGACATGTAGCGTTACTTAGTGTTGGACGTTCGCCCAGGTGAGGAAAGCAATGGTTCCTGCCCCCAGGCCGGAACACACCAAAGTCCTTAAGGTGGCTCCACACATCGTCATCAGCGTCCATTTTCGTGACGTACTTCCGGAAAAAGTATAGATTTTTTTCAAGGAAGATAACTCTCACCCGGATCAAAGTGATTGTAAAATGTAAAATAAATTAATTATAAAGCCATTGTGTATATTTTGTTCAATTTCCCATTCTATATGTATAGATCTTTGTGTCCTGTTTGCTTTTAGCTTGTAGATAATCACTTTTATCCGTACAAATTCAATAAAAAACACTTTGTGTAACATGTGTTACATATTTTGCGATAAATAAAATATTTGTAGGGTTAATTAGAAATGCTTCTTTTCATTNTTTGCTGGTTAATTGCGAAAGTGTGGAGCCACCTTAAAATGGTAGTTGTTATTCCCTGCTTAACGTTCAGCATGGAGGGTAATGCCAACAACTGGTTCACCCGTTGTCAGTATAATGTGACTGGGCGGAATGTTGTGATTGGTGCTTTCGGCATGGTGTTTCAGTGAAATAGCACTATAATAGATAGCATCAGATCCGCGCTATCACAAGGAGACAATTACACCTAGTTACCCTGTCTCCTGCACACCTGACGCATACATAAAACACATGAATGTACGGCCTTTCATGACCTTGATAGGACGTTAAACAAAATATAACCAAAGCCAAATCCTCAGAACTAATATTCAAGCTTTACCCTCTTTTCGACTTACTGATTATTTGTCTTATATTTATGGTATCATACTCTGTATTAAGTAACATGCTTTTCTGGAAACTTTTTGACTGATATAGTATTTAGCCAGGGCTGTCTACCTGCCGTGCTACAATCTACGTTGATAGAGTTTCACCTGCTATTCAAACAAATATGAGTTTTTAAATGATGATTAAAACGATGAGTTTTTAATGCTTTTTGAGATGCAACACTTAACACATTAGACTTAATAGTACTGCGGCGTTTATAATGATTTAGCAGGGATGATTATCACAGGTGTTTTTACGTATTTCTCGACATTGCTTCCAAAGATATTATGTTTTGATTTAAATCACGATGTTAGAAAATTGCGGAAGATAACTGTACGATGACAATGACATATTAAAAGGCAACTACGGCGAGGATTTTTCAGGAGTGTTAAGAGAAAAAAAGAAGTTTTTAATTATAAAATAATATCCAAATTGCTTAACTGTTTCCGGGAAGACGGTTGTTACGTAGGAATTATGAGATATGATCAGATACATATTAATCAAAATACTTTGTTACATACTTACTAATAAATACGGGGTTTTTTTTGTATATGCGATACGGCACAATTGCTCTAACCTATATCAGCCCTCGCCGTATCACACCCCAAAACCCGTATCAGCCCCCGCCGTATCACACCCCAAACCCGTATCAGCCCGCAAAACCCACATCACACCCCTTTTGGAAAAAAAATCGTTTTTCAATATTTCAAAAATCAAAATACATCATAAGATAGTAGTTTTTATTAGTAAGTATGTAATTAACAGAATAAAACACGCCTTTTTCCATATCACACCCAGTATCAACCCGAGACTGATATCAGCCCAAGGGCCTATATTTTCTATTTATTATATTTTTGATATGTTAACAAAATAAAGTTGATAAATGTCCAAGTGACGTTCACTTGCTAATTTCTAAGTCTCATCGTAACACACAATCTCATCCCTTCCCCTCTGCCATATCCTGCACCGGTTTTTCGCCATGCTCGAGTAAAATAACAATCTATTCCAATTTCTTCAATAGTAAAACCCATTGATTCCCTATCAAAATTAAGGTAATGCACGTATTCGGTGACACGGTGTTTTTATTACTGTTATCGACTTTAATGAGACCGTATCATAGAAAATAATTCAAATTCATGACAAAAATATGCAAAGACCGAATTGTCAGCATGAGTTATTTTTACATGAGAATTCTTAGACATTTAATCAGGTAAGCCTATGACGAACACTTAAAGCGTTGGTAAGTATTTAAAATAGTTTCATGTTTGTGTAGGTGTTTCATTTAAAACGATATCTCGTGCAGGTTCGGTAAGAGAATATACCTGCAGTATATGAATACATTCACATATGAGACAACTAATGTGGATTCTCTCAGGATCTTCTGTGTGTTCAACTTAGGGGAACATTGGATGACTCAATTATAACCACTGTAACCTTTCTGATTGTTTTTTTTTTAATTTACAAATTCGTCGAAAAAGCTTCCACAAGACCGTTGAAAACGAATAACCAAAGAAAATTACACTTGTACAAGCGGTTTGTGAAAGTGATTAGAAATGGAAACTCATTGAACATTTTATATAGATACACGGAATTAGATTAGATTGCTATCCAAGTCCGTGATGGATATAATAATAGATAAAACGTAATTATGGAGCACCTATTTGAAAAGTCAACAGCATATTAAACAAAATAAAAAATTTCCGCACAACACAGCAATTACCTCATTTAAGGACTCGTTTGTGGTACTAAACTCCAATATGTGGGACATTGAAAAGTTTAGAAAAAAAATCATCTGCTTACATTTCAGCATTTAGGACTCCAGTTTGGCCTTTACTTCTACCCTTTCTTTCATTTTCTATGGTGATGGACACCTAGATACCCTTGTTCATGTTCCCTTAAATGTCGTGACGACATCTAACCTCGAACTAGACAAATCACCATACCTTCTAGGCTCTAGTCGATCACATAACTCTTCTTTTCACAACATGTCAATTCAATATTTTTTAGCCATATCATTAAATAATCTACTTATACGATAATTATGTATGTGCTTTATACTTCTAAACATGCGACATGCACCAGGTCTACAATAATGAAGTCACGAACGCCTTTTCAGTAGGATACCCTATACCCTAGTCTGTATATTGTAGATTAATAAAACACTGTATTTGTGTGTACATAATAAGTACACAACCATCTCATATGTTAAAGAATTCGAACAAATCAGGTAATTATCTAACTCTGTGAATACACAATACATTTACCTTTGTGATAGAAAGTTAATTAGCTAGTAAAGTCACTGAATGGAAGAGGTGGCTTGGCTGTGTAAACGTACACTGGCAATTATGGCGACTCACTTATCGTAGATACATGTATGAGAATGAACACGACAGTTTTATGACATGAGGATGTATGCTTTAGTATGTAAAAATGTGAGTATGCTAGTATTTATTTTATTTCTACGGTAACAACAGTTATAAACAGTTCTTGAATAGGTAGGATTAAATAAGTAAATATGATATATATATCTGTAATACTTTTTACCGCCATCTATCAAGACAAAAACATGAATAATTAGATAATACCAAAAAACACTGTAGAACAATACTACAGCATACGCTAAATAATGGAAGACCAGTTATTACGTCTATAGTATGCTGTTGTTAAGGCATAATCATTCGGCTGGCTGATAACCGAAGGCTATTTAAGGCGATATACATAGTTTGGTAGAGACAATTAAACGTATTGTGTGTGAGTATAACTTATACAAAATCAGTAGATACATCTTTTTTATCCGTGTCCATAGTATAAGTTCATAAATAGGGAACATATTTTTACACACGTAAAATAAACGCTTGTGATTTATAAGAGAAAAACACACTTTAAATGTAGAAAGGTAGATAGACACTGTGCCTCGCACCGTGTAAGGAGCAACTCACTAATGATATATTCCTTGTATTTCCATGTCTCACCCTTTATATTGGGTTTGCTTTGTTTAAATACGGATCTCGTGTACGAATATTTCATTTAAATTTGTATAATCAGTGTGCTCTATTGACAACGCTGACCCATTGCTAGTAACCGGTAAAAAATAGATGTATAGTTAGCTTGAAAAATACATCGAAATCAGTTTTGAACAATTAATGAATTAATTTTGCCATGAATTATGAAGTACCTGCTAATGTATTTTTGTTTCATAGTATTACTACAGATTTTAAATCTAAACTAGCGTTAACATGCTATTGAATAACCGACGATTTGTACCGTTAATAATACACAGTTTGCTCAATTATTTAAATGTAATTATTCTTTATAAATTTGACACAAGAAAAATATTTGTTTAGCTCATGGTACTATATAAAATATGAATGATATACACTTATAGTTACACATATGCATATTATAAATCAACTATGCTTTTTTTATTTGTGATGTTTCAAACGACTTGTAAAATAAAAAATAAATAAAAACACATATACATCAAATACTACACAAGTGATTGTAAAACTAACCAACACATGGCGGATATTCAGACAATTGCCCATTCGGTATTCATTCAGCCTTGTACAATGACAATGGTGATTTTGTGTGAATTTGTATACACAGTTAGACAATGAACGATTCCAAACCCTCATATTGTATTTTATCTAACGATCACTGTATATCTACTCCTTATTGAGATCGACGCAGTGTGACCGAGAATGAACGTTACCACCTCGCAATCACGGTAGCGACGGACGCTCCTCGGCAGGCAGAAGGGTAGGGTAAGCTGTATAAATTATTTTATTCTTGTTACTATGATTAATCAGGGAAATTGATGCACTTTTGGATATGAAAAAGAACATATTTGATCCAATGTTAAATATATATACATGTGTATTACATTTTGTGTAAAGTTTAACAGATAGTGATATCATCGCTAGGCAATATATTATAAGATTTAATATTTCTGACGTAGTGATTAATGTATATTAAATTAATTCCTATGCAATATATGAGTTCTTACGTATGCAGGAAATGATATTCATTCAAAGTCAATATATTATAAGATATAGTATTTCTTACATTAGGTTTCGTGGAAATTGAATTTATTCCTATGTGGGAAATTATATTTATTTTAAGGCAATATAATACACGATATAGTATTTCTTACATTCGCTTTCGTGAAAATTGAATTTATTCTTATGCAAGAAATGATATTCATTCTAGGGAAACATATTATTCATTGCATGCCAATAAATAATATGAGATATCATTTTTTATGTAGAGTTTAATTGGTATTGAATTGATCTCTAGGCAACCGAATAATACATATAGTGGAAACAATTTCGTAATCCTTTTGTTCACTCTGTATGGTCATAGCAATGTTGTATAGGTGATAAATGGGTAATGTGTGTTCACATGTCTTCGACTCCCAAGCACTTTCCCAATTATACCTAGACCGATTACTAGTTCTCACAGCATTGGCCGGTGTCAGTTCTATATATTTAAGTGAACATTATCTAAAAACTAATAAGTTGAATCCTTCATTCATTCGGGGTTTTTTTCTTTTTCGAATCTTTGATTAAAATAAAATGATATAAAAATAGAATAGTAAAGTATATAGACGATGTGGTACATTTTGTCTATGTTTGTAGATGCTGTGGTATACTGCGTTCTTGTGTGTTGACGCTGTGGTATACTGTGTTATTGTGTGTAGACACTGTGGTATACTGTGTCTTTGTGTGTAGACACTGTGGTATACTGTGTCTTTGTGTGTAGACACTATGGTATACTGTGTTATTGTGTGTAGACGCTGAGGTATACTGTGTCTTTGTGTGTAGACACTGTGGTATACTGTGTCTTTGTGTGTAGACACTGTGGTATACTGTGTTATTGTGTGTAGACACTGTGGTATACTGTGTCTTTGTGTGTAGACACTGTGGTATACTGTGTTATTGTGTGTAGACACTGTGGTATACTGTGTTATTGTGTGTAGACACTGTGGTATACTGTGTCTTTGTGTGTTGACGCTGTGGTATACTGTGTTATCGTGTGTAGACACTGTGGTATACTGTGTCTTTGTGTGTAGACACTGTGGTATACTGTGTCTTTGTGTGTAGACACTGTGGTATACTGCTTTATTGTGTGTAGACACTGTGGTATACTGCGTCCTTGTGTGTAGACACTGTGGTATACTGTGTCTTTGTGTGTAGACACTGGTATACTGTGTTATCGTGTGTAGACACTGTGGTATACTGTGTTATTGTGTGTAGACACTGTGGTATAGTGTGTTATTGTGTGTAGACACTGTGGTATCCTGCTTTATTGTGTGTAGACACTGTGGTATACTGCGTCCTTGTGTGTTGACACTGTGGTATACTGTGTCTTTGTGTGTAGACACTGTGGTATACTGCGTTATTGGGTGTAGACACTGTGGTATACTGTGTCTTTGTGTGTTGACGCTCTGGTATACTGTGTTATTGTGTGTTGACCCTGTGGTATACTGTGTTATCGTGTCTAGACACTATGGTATACTGTGTTATCGTGTCTAGACACTATGGTATACTGCGTTATTGTGTGTAGACACTGTGGTATAGTGTGTTATTGTGTGTAGACACTGTGGTATACTGTGTTATCGTGTGTAGACACTGTGGTATACTGCGTTATTGGGTGTAGACACTGTGGTATACTGTGTCTTTGTGTGTTGACGCTGTGGTATACTGTGTTATCGTGTGTAGACACTATGGTATACTGAATTATCGTGTGTAGACACTGTGGTATACTGCGTTATTGGGTGTAGACACTGTGGTATACTGTGTCTTTGTGTGTTGACGCTGTGATATACTGTGTTATTGTGTGTAGACACTACGGTATACTGTGTTATCGTGTGTAGACACTGTGGTATACTGTGTCTTTGTGTGTTGACGCTGTGATATACTGTGTTATTGTGTGTAGACACTACGGTATACTGTGTTATCGTGTGTAGACACTGTGGTATACTGCGTTATTGGGTGTAGAAACTATGGCATACTGTGTCTTTGTGTGTTGACGCTCTGGTATACTGTGTTATCGTGTGTAGACACTATGGTATACTGTATTATCGTGTGTAGACACTGTGGTATACTGCGTTATTGTGTGTAGACACTGTGGTATACTGTGTCTTTGTGTGTTGACGCTCTGGTATACTGCGTCCTTTCGTGTTGACGCTTTGGTATACTGTGTTATCGTGTGTAGACACTATGGTATACTGTGTCCTTGTGTGTTGACGCTGTGATATACTGTGTTATTGTGTGTAGACACTGTGGTATACTGTGTTATTGTGTGTAGACACTGAGGTATACTGCGTCCTTGTGTGTAGACACTATGGTATACTGCGTCCTTGTGTGTAGACACTGAGGTATACTGCGTCCTTGTGTGTAGATACTATGGTATACTGCGCTATTGTGTGTAGATACTATGGTATACTGCGTTATGGTGTGTAGACACTATGGTATACTGCGTCCTTGTGTATAGACACTATGGTATACTGCGTCCTCGTGTGTTGACGCTGTGGTATACTGTGTCTTTGTGTGTAGACACTGTGGTATGCTGCGTTATTGTGTGCAGACGCTGTGGTATACTGTGTTATCGTGTGTAGACACTGTGGTATACTGTGTCTATGTGTGCAGACGCTGTGGTATACTGCGTCCTTTTGTGTTGACGCTGTGGTATACTGTGTCCTTTTGTGTTGACGCTGTGGTATACTGTGTCTTTGTGTGTTGACGCTGTGGTATACTGCGTCCTTTTGTGTTGACGCTGTGGTATACTGTGTCTGTGTGTTGAAATTGTGGTATACTGCGTCCTTTTGTATTGACGCTGTAGTATACTGTATCTTTGTGTGTTGAAGCTGTGGTATACTGTGTCTGTGTGTGGAGCTGTGGTATACTGTGTCTATGTGTGGACGCTGTGGTATACTGTGTCTTTGTGTGTTGAAGCTGTGGTATACTGTGTCTGTGTGTGGAGCTGTGGTATACTGCGTCCTTGATGTTTATGCTGTGGTATGTTATACCCTGTGTTTAGACGTTGTGGTATATTTTGTGCTTGTGTTGACGCTGTGGTATATTTTTTCCTTTGTGTTGACGCGGAGTGAAATAGGTCTATCTATATTGACAACATGGTTTATTTCATCTTTGTGCGTTGGAACTGTGGCACTTTGGTCTATGTTTGTTGTCGTTGTGNTTGTGTGTTGACGCTGTGGTATACTGTGTCTTTGTGTGTTGAAGCTGTGGTATACCGTGTCTATGTGTGGACGCTGTGGTATACTGCGTCCGTTTGTGTAGACACTATGGTACACTGCGTTATTGTGTGTAGACACTGTGGTATAATGTGTCTTTGTATGTTGACGCTGTGGTATATTTTGTCCTTTGTGTTGACGCGGAGTGAAATAGGTCTATCTATATTGACAACATGGTTTATTTCATCTTTGTGCGTTGGAACTGTGGCACTTTGGTCTATGTTTGTTGTCGTTGTGGTTTAGTTTGACCTTGTGCGTTGTGGTATGTTCTGTCCTTTTTCGCAGAATGTACACTGAAAAACAAATAAAAAAATGAAGTTATGAATACCTATAATTGTGTTTGAATATATATATGGTACATGGAAGTTTAATTACATTCTAATTACTTAAATACTGTCACATAACCACCAAGTGTATTTATACCACTTAAACTACATTGTCAGGCCACTAATTATTACATTATTGTTAGCAGAGCACCTTACTACGTTTGATACAATATGTCGTTTTCCCTTCGAGTGTACTCTCTTTGTGTCCTATAATGTTCACGTATAACTAGATCTGGCCTTTTCACTTCCTCATTACCCGATAATTATCCGGCGGTATTGTGTCTGTATGATAAAACATGAAAAAAGAAATAATTACACTTTACCGTCAATGCAAAAGGACAAAATAACTAATTTAAAAAAGCTTAGGAAAATAGTTGGAATAACTTATTATGATATTCATTTGTGATCAAAACAAAGCAATTCTTTGAAGTATTGTCATATAATGTCACTAATTTGGCCCCCTCCTGCACAATTAGAAGTTTTCTGGTCTTGTGTATATTCTTTTAAGAAGAGGAGGGAACACAGTAGATCTGCTTTCCTATAACCTTTAACAACCCTACTAAAGCAATGCATGGTTCTGAATTTCAAAGCCGATACTCAAGACAGACACTTAAACATTAAAACAAAAGGAACATACATATTGAACCCTTTCAAACACAACTGAGGCGAGATCAAGCAATGTAAATATTTATGTTATATTGGGTTATTTGTCCTTGTATATTAATTAATGTGTTTGTGTATAACATTATGCATATTATAGAGAAAATTTTAAAACATTTCCAATCAATAGATACTATCTTATAATTTCTTATATTGTGTCTACGTAGGAAAGATATCAGATAGGTTGTTAAATCATGAAAGAATATATTCATATATTTTAATATAAGATTTTTTATCTTCAATATTCTCAATATAATTTATTTATATATGTATATCATATGTAATAACGACAGTATGATCCAATGGGCACTGAATCCGAACAAACAAACGGTCGTTGGATGCGTGTTACTAAAATAAATATGTAGGCAAAGAAGTAATAACGACAGTGCAGACCTTAAAATTTGACAAATTTTAGGGCGATCCGCCCTTTTTTCAAGACAGAAACATAAAAACTTACATATCACAACATATACCAAAGATAAACAGTCACCATCGCTATTATTACGTGAAAAGAGACGCCGTC